ATCTCATTTTCTCTGCAATTCATTATTTGGGACGTGGTGGCTGCACCTGCTTGGGGTTTGTGTTTAAAGAGAGGGGCAGGTTGTTTGAAATGAGCTCTCTGCATTTCCAGTGTGGCCACAGTGAGAGCCGCTGATCCTCCAGAGCTGTGTCCTGCTTCCTAGAGGCAGGGAATCGTGGATAACAGTCACAGAATCATGGAATTTGGACATCTCAGTGAAGCTGGGCTGCCCCTGGATCCCTGGCAGTGCCCAAGGCCAGGCTGGACAGGGCTGGGAGCACCTGGGATAGAGGAAGAGGATGGAACAAGGTGGGCTTTAATGCCCCAAAGCATTCCCTGATCTGGGATCTCCTCCTGCCCCCTCTTTCAGAGAAGGAATGAAGATAAGGAAACCTCCAGGACTGAGCTGATGAAGCTGCACCAGTGTCTGGTCCATCATCAGCACCGCTGTGTCACCAGGAGTGACAAGCACGAGGTGCAGGGCCATGATGGGGACAGGGGACAGCCAGGATGGGACTGTCCCCACCCCCTGTGTGCCCAGAGGAGCCCTGGCCATGGCAGGGAGAGGACAGAGGGTGAGGGGACACTCACAGGGACAGGGGACACACACAGGGACAGGGGACACACACAGGGACAGGGGACACACACACAGGGACAGGGGACACTCACAGGGACAGGGGACACTCACAGGGACAGGGGACACACTCACAGGGACAGGGGACACTCAACAGGGACAGGGGACACTCACACACAGGGACAGGGGACACACACACAGGGACAGGGGACACACACAGGGACAGGGGACACACACAGAGGGACAGGGGACACACACAGGGACAGGGGACACACACAGGGACAGGGGACACACACAGGCTGAGGGGACACTGCAGCCCCCCCCAGGTGTGACCCAGAGCCACAGAAAGGCTCCGAGGCACAATTTAATTGTGCAGGTGTTAAATGAACTGACGGCTTTAATTGCAGGAGCAATTTCCACGTCTGTCCAATGGCCCAGGCTCGCAGGTTCTGAACGCAGCCAGAGGCAGGCGGGGATAATGTAAATTATCCTGGGCAGGTCTCTAAACAAGGTCTGTGGTGACCTTGGTAAGGACTGGGATGTTTCTGATGTTGTGGAAAAGACACTTCCAGGGGAAGGAAGTTCAGAGCTTTTCCAGTTTCACATTCAGAAAACAAGAATAAATATGATAAAATTATCATAATAAATATAATGTGGGGAAGTTACCACATTAATTTATTTAATAAATTTAATTTGTATCATTTATTTATATAATAAATAGTAATATTTATATAATAAATATAATTTGTGGGGAAGTTACCACATTCCCCACAAATTTCTGAGACTTAACCAACTCCCCACCACAAAAGTTATCAACTCCTGTTGCAATTAAATTTTTAGCATCATCCATATTTCTCCTGTGTGCCTGGATACCACAGAACACTTCCAGGGTGTTGCTTCCTGAGGATTCCAGGCCTTATCTTCTATAAATCCAATTATTCTTGTGTTGTTTTCCCATCTACAGTGGGGCAGGGGCAGCAGCTCCGTGCCCCTGTGGCAGGGTGAGAGCTGAAGGCAGCACTGATTATCCTCACCCGGAAAAGAGCCGGGCTGCAAGGGGAGAGAGGATTAGAATCGCTCCTGGTGAATTTTAATGGCCTTTAATCAGCCACTCCACGCTGATTACCACAAGCTCAGGAGCCTGTTTCCTCCGCGTGTGCATGGCTGGGGTGGATTCGGTGTTTAACTGCCCTAATTTAATTCCTGCTCAGCAATCAGCGCTCAGCTGGCTCCAGAGCCATCCAGGTGGGGAGAGGAGAGGATTCCTCAGGGCTGGGGGCTCTTCCATTCCTCTGTCTGCTCCTTCTCCCTTTGCTCCTGCCCTGCCCTGTCCTGGCAGAGCCCTGCTGGCCCCTGCCTGTGGGAAAGGAACAAAATCCTTCCCTGGCAGGGTGGGCAGTGCCTGGCACAGCTGGGGCTGCCCCTGGATCCCTGGCAGTGCCCAAGGCCAGGCTGGACAGGGCTGGGAGCTCCTGGGACAGTGGCAGTGTCCCTGCCATGGCTGGGGTGGCACTGGAGGGGCTCTGAGGTCCCTCCAACCCAACCCATCCTGGGATTCTGTGAATAATGAACACTCTCAGAGAGGGAGGGGTGCTTGGCAAAGCAGATCCAGAGAGATCACTCTTGAGGACGTGGATCATGATCATCCTTAACCCAGGGAGATCTGGGGGAAGTTTGGAGAGAGAATAAGTCACCATTGCCAGAGAAGAAAGGCACTCAGAAAGTGCTGGAATGAGCCCCAGGATCATGGAATGGGTTGGGTGGGAAGGACCTGAAAGCCCCTCCAGTGCCACCCCTGCCGTGGCAGGGACACCTTCCCCTGTCCCAGGTGCTCCCAGCCCCAGTGTCCAGCCTGGCCTTGGGCACTGCCAGGGATCCAGGGACAGCCCCAGCTGCTCTGGGCACCTGTGCCAGGGCCTCACCTCCCTATGAGTAAAGAATTCCTTCCCAATCTCCCAGCTCTTTTCCCCCCCAGCAGTCAATTTGAGAAGGTTCTTTGAAAAGCTGACACAGCAGCTCCTGAAATCCAGGAATTGAGACTTTTGCAGCAGAGCAGCTCAGCACCAGCAAAAAATTCTGCTGCAAGATGTAAAATGTCCCATGCTGTGGTTTTACAACATCCTGCACCTGCCCAGAGGGGCTGCACTGCCTGAGGAGGAGGAGGAGAGGGAGGAAGGGCTGATTCCAGAGGGGCTCCTGGATCTGTTCCCACATCAAATTGGACACAGACAATTCCTCTGCAGCAAGGCTCATTTGCCATCATCAGATTAACTCCTCTGCAGGGACAGGAGGAGAAACACACAGGAACCAACTGCAGCAGGTTTATCTCTGAACCCCATAAAGAAAAATCCCTCTCCAGGCAAAATTGTCTTTGGGAACAGCCCCAGCACAGCCGCTCACTCCCTGCTCCCTCACTCCCTCCATGCCCTGCCCTGTGCAGCCACCACTCCCACACATTTTCCCCTTCATTTCCCTCTATTAAGGCACTAATTGATTGACCAGATCAGGAGAGCCCAGATCTGTCCCCTGGGACTCTCCTGCATTCCCAGCGATGACTGCACATGGGCTCAGGGATGGGCAGAGCTGAACCTCAGTGGCTGGGATGGGAAATCTCCTCTGTCCCATCCCAGTCCCCTCCCTCTGCTCTCCCATGTTCCCAGCCAGCTCTGATCCCCCTCCTCTCACTCAATTCCCCCCAGCCAGCCCCAAATGCAGCCCCCACTGCCGGGTCAGTCCCTGCTCCACCTTCCAGGGAGCAAAGTGTCCCTGGGTGCCTGGGGGTGCAGCTCAGCGGTCCCTGCTGTCCCTCCTCACACAGGGAAAGAGCTGTCAGTTGTGCTCTGACCCCAGAGGAAAGGCAGCCAGAGCTCTTCAAGGGCACAAATCCGGGCAAGTGCAGAGTAAAGAGGGGGTGAAGCCCACAGCTGCTGTTTTCCAAGGCCATGGAGCGCCTGTGGAATTCAGTCAGAGCTGCCTGAAGGAGCCCCCGGGGCTGTCCCTGCCCAGCCAGGGCTCCCACCCGGAGCCTCTGCCCCCTTTTCCCTGTCCCACCACGGCCCAGGAGGCACCAGGGCCATGTTCCTGTGGAAGCTGATCCCAGGAACCCTGCTGCTCTAAATCCAGGCACAATCCCATCTCCCAGCCTCATCCCAGGCATTTGGGGTGGGGGCACTAAAAGCAGTGGGTTAAACTGTGAGTGGAATTTTCAGGAAGGCTCCAGACTTCTCTGCTCCCCATCCAAGAGCTCAGCTCACAAACTTGATTTTCTCACCAGGATTTTTGCTTCTTGAGCAGCTCCTGAGGGGCTGGAATTCTGGAAGGCACCAATGGCTCAGTGGGATGGGATGGGGCTCCCAAGGATTAGTGGAGGCAATAAAACATCCCTGGCTCCCAGTCCTGCCCCTCCTGGTGCCATTTACTCCCCCCAGCTACATCACAAACCATGGGGCCTTCACCAGCACCAAACTCCTGCTTTGACAACCAAATCCTGGGATCCACAGCAGAATTTTCAGGGTTATTCCTGTCCCTTGCCAGGAGGCCAGGAACAAGTTTTTAAAAGCCTTTTAAAATACTCTTCCAAAGCTCCACCCAATTCAGTCTGGACGGGGCTGGAGGGTTGTAAAAGAAGGCAGAAATTCTCATTTCCAGGTTTGGCTCTTTTGCTTCATTAAACCTGGGAACAGCCAAAGTTTCTTAGCAGGCAAAGGCTGTGGGATGGTCAGTGAAAGGAGCTGCAATCCCACAGGAAGCCACACATTTGATCCATTGGCAGCAAACGTGCAGCTCTGTGTTTCTGGGGATTTTTGATCCTGCCATAACAGCCTGGACTGTTTTTTCTGGAAGCTCCAAAGCTGTTTAAAGTCTCACTGCAGGGCAGGCAAAAAGTAGCTCCCAGTGCTGGATGTGTCTCCTCCCAGTGCCTGGGACCAGCAGGACCAAACCCCACCAGGGCAGCACCTGGGGCAAACCTTCCTCTGGCACAGCACAGGTTCATCCTGAGCTCATCCCTGGATTCAGCAGAAATGCCAGTGGGAGCTGCCCTGCCCAGCACATTCCCTGTGTGCAGAGCAGCCCTGCCACAGCCACGGGACCCTGAGCAGGGCACACTTCTGGGAGCAGCTTCAAGGTTCCCAACTCAAAAGATTCCTGGAGAAAAGTGCTTTTCTCTGCCAAAAGTGAATTCCAGACTCCCAAAGGTGTTGCAGGAGTTTCGGGGTGCTTTGCTGTGTCCAGCTGCATTCATCCACAGGAGCACAGGACACAATTCCCTCCAGCAGCGTGGGGTGTTCTTACACAGCCCCCAGCATGATGGACCTCAGCACCCTTTCCACAATCATTCCCACTCAGGAAAACATCCTGTGCTCCTCAACAAACCCACTCTGGAAGCTGCTGAGGCTGGAGTTGCAGTTAAAGCAATGCTCACTTACCTGCCAGAATATGCTGTCTATTGTGTTCCCCAGGAAGCCGTCCCTGCCCTCTGATGACACCAGCTTAGGTCCCAGAATCGTCATAAATTCATCAAAATCCACCTGGCCATCCCCTGGAATGAGAGGAAAAGATCAGACTCAGAAATCAGAGAGAAGGTTGGGTTTGAAGGAACTTTTAGAGGCTCTATAGAACAGCACCCTGATGTGAACAGGGACACCTTCCCCTGTCCCAGGCTGCTCTGAGCCCCCTCCAGCCTGGCCTTGGGCACTGCCAGGGATCCAGGGGCCTGCCCACCCTCATTATTATCAATTAATTACCCCTGAGAGCCCAACGTGCCCCTCTGGAGCTGCTGCACACCAGGGACCCCCCACACCCTGGGAAATCTCCACAGCAACTTCCCGGTGCCCACAGACCCCAATCCTTTGCTGTGCCAGGGAATGGCCCCTGTTGTGTCCCAGCTGCCCCCAAGAAAGGATCAGGCCACTGAAAATCACACACTGAGGGAAACACACACTGAGGGAAACACACACACTGAGGGAATCACACACACTGAGGGAATCACACACACTGAGGGAATCACACACTGAGGGAAACACACACTGAGGGAATCACACACTGAGGGAATCACACACACTGAGGGAATCACACACTGAGGGAATCACACACACTGAGGGAATCACACACACTGAGGGAAACACACACACTGAGGGAAACACACACTGAGGGAAACACACACACTGAGGGAATCACACACACTGAGGGAATCACACACTGAGGGAATCACACACACTGAGGGAATCACACACTGAGGGAATCACACACACTGAGGGAATCACACACACTGAGGGAAACACACACACTGAGGGAAACACACACTGAGGGAAACACACACACTGAGGGAATCACACACACTGAGGGAATCACACACTGAGGGAATCACACACACTGAGGGAATCACACACTGAGGGAATCACACACTGAGGGAATCACACACACTGAGGGAATCACACACACTGAGGGAATCACACACACTGAGGGAAACACACACTGAGGGAAACACACACACTGAGGGAAACACACACACTGAGGGAATCACACACTGAGGGAATCACACACACTGAGGGAATCACACACTGAGGGAAACACACACACTGAGGGAATCACACACTGAGGGAATCACACACACTGAGGGAATCACACACTGAGGGAAACACACACTGAGGGAATCACACACTGAGGGAATCACACACACTGAGGGAAACAGCTCATTCCCCAGGGCCAGGGAGCCCTGAGGCGCTCCCCGCACAAACGTGGGGAGATCAGCGCAGCCCGAGCAGTCCCGGGCCGAATTTCCATCTCCGGGCAGCAGATCTGGGATTTCTGGGAGGGAATAACCTGGGCTGAGGCTCTGAAAGGCAGGGATCTGCAGGGATCTTCAGGGATCTATCTGCAGGGATCTATCTGCAGGGATCTGCAGGGATCCTGTAAAAGCCGCTGCTCCGGGGCTCTGCTCATGTCTGGGACAGCTCGCTGGGGTAAGGGCTAGGCCCCGCACCACTTGGAGAGCCATTCATTAAATTCCTGAATATTTATGGGCTCTGGAAAGCTCCTGCTGCCGTCTGGATCGGGAGGATCGGGAGGATCGGGAGGATCGGGAGGATCGGGAAGGTGATGTCAGGTGCCAGCGGCTCCGGGGGATGCTCACCGCCAATCCCAATCCGTGGGATACACACCGGGATGCTTCAGGATGCTGATTTATTCAAATCAGCCAGATTAGCAAGAAAACAATTTGCATTTTAAAGAGACGCTGGTGCCTGCCCCCTTTGGCCTGTGTGACCCCGAGTTCTTCACTTCGGGTCCTTCCCGATGTCGCTCTGCCCTCGGGGCCGGGCAGGGCTCGGTCCCCAGGTGAGGGAAGGTGCCAGGACTGCGGGATCTGACTTTGTACCGCACTCGGGCAGCCCGCTGCTCGTGACTTCCTGCCAGGGATCATCACTAACCTCACACGCTTTAATTAGCAGCTTAATGAGAGCATTTTCCACAACCTCCGAAGAAAGATGCCATTGAAAAATGCATTATCCCCTTATTGACTGCTTTTTCAATTAAAACTCTTAACTAGCAAGGCAGCTAGACCCCACTTTTGCCTGGTAGAAATATCCCTTTAACATTCCCGTGAAGCTGCAGAAAACAAACCTTCCCTGCCATCAGCACCTCGGGAGACTGCAGCATCATTCCATCAACACACAGAAATCACGGCTTTGTCTGAACATTCCTTTTGACAGCCACGGGAGAAATGTTATAAAAACCAACACCCAAACCTGCACGGGGCTGCTCTGCACAGCCAGGGCATCACCAAAGGCCAGTTTTCACATCCCATCCCAGGAGCAGAGTGTGGAGTTTGGGTTTGGCACAGACAGGAGCCACCCTGCTCCTCCCCACGGGCACAGAGCGCTGGGGGATCTGCCCGGGATCCAGCCCTGCAGCCAAATCCAACCCCTCCATCCCCAAATACAGACTTGCTGCTCTCCACAAGGCCCTCGGGACTCCAAGTCATGTGTGGATTATCCACAAATTATCTCCGAGCTGGTTTAAGGATTTCAGAGCTCTTTCCCAGCTTAAAGATTCCATGATTCCAAGGCACTCACACATTCCCAGAACTTATTTACAAACTGGGAGGGCAGGGAAACCTGGGGGCATGGTGGGGTGGGATGTGCTGGGACAGGGGACCCTTGGGAATGGTGCTGAGGGGTCTGTTGGGACAGGGAAACCTTGGGAATGGTGCTGAGGGGTCTGTTGGGACAGGGAAACCTTGTGAATGGTGCTGAGGGGTCTGTTGGGACAGGGCAGCCTGGCAGGTGGCACAGGGGGTGAGGACACAGGGGCTCCAGGCAGGATCCCACCCCTGAGCTGCTCTCACCAGCCAAGGGATGGGTCACTGCCTGTGTGGGTGATCTCAGCAGAGCACCAGAGCTGAGCTCAAGCGCTGGTTTAAACCCACCTAAAGCACTCCTTGATCTCCTCCCGGCCGTGCCCTCCCCCATGAAGCTCCGTGTTAATCCTGGCATTAATGTCACCGAGTCACCCGGGGGCACCAACGCTGTGCCTGAGCCTCATGACTCAAACAATGACTCAGAACCTTTCGGCCACCCCAGCAGAGCCCAAACACATCAGTTCATCATGCCCAGGCTGGCTGAGAGGAGCCTCCAGCACCCACAGAGGTTTGCTGCCGGCAGGACTCTGAGTCCTGGCAGAAAGCTGGGAATTGTGACAACCAGAAGGAATGGCAGTGATGGGAGCCTGGCTCGTTGTGCTGGAGCCTGATCAGCATTCGCTCTCCTCCTGCCTGACCTCCAGCGAGCCCGAGGTGAGATATTTAAAGTTAATGAGCTGGGTTTGCAGCTCGGGGCACACAGCTCCTGTTTATTTTTATTCTCCAGCAGCTCCCTGCAGTGCCAGTGCCGTGCCCAGGCTGGCACAGGTGTGCCCTGGGATGGGGCAGGGGATGAGCAGGGAGCAGCTCCAGCCACGGCAGATTTCCCAGACGAGGCTTTTGGTTCCACACATTTGGAGGTCAGAGCCTCCTCAGCCCTCTGACCCCTTGCCCAGCACAAGGCAGAGAATTTTCCCTAATTACAGCCTCAGTCCAGAACCACAATGGGAACAGGGCAGGTCTGGCACCAAACTTTGGCCTTGGAAAACAGTTTTAATTATAGCTGGCTCCAGTGACTTCTGAGAGAGGAAAAACCACCCCAGCACGGGAAGGACGTGGATCTGTGGGAAAGAGTCCAGAGGAGACCACGGAGCTGCTCCAGGGCTGGAGCCAGGCTGGCAGAGCTGGGGGGGCTCACCTGGACAGGAGAAGCTCCAGGGAGAGCTCAGAGCCCCTGCCAGGGCCTGAAGGGGCTCCAGGAGAGCTGGAGAGGGACTGGGGACAAGGGATGGAGGGACAGGACACAGGGAATGGCTTACAGTGCCAGAGGGCAGCGATGGATGGGATCTTGGGCAGGAATTGTTCCTGGCAGGGTGGGCAGGGGCTGGGATGGAATTGCCAGAGCAGCTGGGGCTGTCCCTGGATCCCTGGCAGTGCCCAAGGCCAGGCTGGACATTGGGAGCTCCTGGGACAGTGGAAGGTGTCCCTGCCATGGAATGAGAAGAGCTCTAAGATCCCTTCCCACCCAAACCACTCTGGGATTCCATGGAAAGCTTCACTGGATCTGAGGAAAGGATCAAACATCTCCACTGGAGCCCCTCTGTCTCTTAAGTGCCTCCACTCCTGCAGATTTCAGAGCAGTTGTGTGGATCTGGCTGCTCTGGCTCCATGACAACCACAGAACAGATCCATGGATTGTAGGACACATCCCTGGAAGAGGGGATTTCTGTGGGGCTGGCAGGCTCCAGCAGAGCCCAGAAGGGTGGAGCAGGGGGGGTTTGTCCATCCAGGAGCTGCAGAGTTCCTCCCTCTGGTACACCTTGGCTTGTCCTGCAGGGGCAGGGAACAGCTCCTCGGGAACAGCTTGCTTCCCATTAAAAATAAATCTGTGAACTGCCAGAGTCTGAGCAGGAGACAGACTGAGGAGGACAGGGAATCTGCTGGGACCTGTCCCTGCTCCAGCACGAGCACTCAAACAAGGAGGAGAAGTCCAAGGAAAACAGGGAGTGAAATAAATGTCCATCAGACACCTGCCAGCTCCAGCCGGGCCCCAGGGAGCTGCAGGAGGCCAAGGAGCCAGCCCTGGCACCACATGTCCCCAGGGATGTGCCAGCGGATGAGCTCCCTGTGCCCCCAGCCCTCTCTGAAATCCCCTCCCTCCCTGGGGATCTCTGCAGCTCCGTGAGCAGCTGATCCCTCTGTCCCACGGATCAAGAGCAGCAGGATCACCCCCAGACTCCTGGGACTGCCATCCTCTGCCCCCTGCCCTGGGAAGGGTCTGACACCCTGGGGAGCAGCAGCAGCTCATGAAACAGGGCTCTGGGGAGCCAGAACAACCCCAGGGCACCACACTTCAGGAAGAAATAAAACACAGCAAGGATCCAAACAGAGCACAGGGCACGAGGTGCAGCTCAGCCCAGGGGCTCCAGAGCGGGGACTGCACTTCAGAGCTTCCTTTTGTGCTGTCCCTTCAGCAGGGCTGCACGTCAGCAGAGGCAGGGTTGGAAGGCATTTGGTATCATTTGATATAATTTGGCATAATTTGATGAACTCCTGAGCTGCAGATCTGACAGGCTGCAGGAGCAGCTGTAATTACTCCTCACTTCTGCAGTGAGAACACAGAATGGGATAAAATGTGATAATCCTCATTGTCCAAATGAGAGCAGACATGGAGACAGTGGCCCCTGTAAATCCAGACAAGTCTCATCAAATTCAGCCCGCTGCCCAAAATTCCCAGCTCAGCAACACATTTTAAAGGACAGCCAGGCTGGAATGTGGCTGGATCATTTCTCACACTGAAAAAATCACTTTAAGATCAAAGGACAAACCCAAACTCCATCCTAACCCATCTGTCCCATCCCTGTAAGTGCCTGAGGCCAGGCTGGACGGGGCTTGGAGCAGCCTGGGGTAGTGGAAGGTGCCTGTGCCGCTCCTGGCTCGGTGGCAGGAGGTGACAGCCAGGTGTGAAATGCTCCTGTCAGGTCACTTCAGATGCTCCTCTGAGATCCCCATGTCCAGCCTGGCAATCCTGCTCCCTTCATCCCCATCCCTGCAGAAAACAGGGAACACCAGCCCAGCTCAGCCCAGCCCAGCCCAGCCCAGCCCAGCTCAGCCCAGCCCAGCCCAGCCCAGCCCAGCCCAGCCCAGCCCAGGTTCCTTCCAGCCCTCAGTGAAATCGGCCGTGGCAGACTCAGGCCCTCTGCCACGCTGGAATTTGCTGATGAAAACTGGATCTTGGGGCTGCTCAGGCTGGCTCAGGTTAAACCCCAAGCCCTGCCAATTTTCTTACCTCATTTTCAGGCCCTGGCAGCAGTTTTGATGGGAAGGAAGGAATGGATGTCTGGCTGCTCCACCTGCCAGCACATCATAACTCACAGCACGGGCCAGAGATGTGCACAGGATTTCACCTCCCCCCGTGGCTCTCCTGACCACTGGAGACTCCTCCCTGAGCGTGACCTTTCATCCATCCAGGCTTCCAACCCATCGAATGCCAAGCAAAGACCTGGAAAAACTCAGCAACCCCCCCCAGGAATACATGGGAAGGTGGTCAGGCTGTTCCTGGGAGCCCTGGGCACAAGCAGCATTCCTGCCCTGCTCCTGAAGGATGCCCTTTCCCACTGGGAGAGGAAGGAGGAGGCTTTTGCTGGTTCTCACTCCACAGTTCAAGTTAAATCCCAGGAAAAGGTGAAGAATCCATTGGAGAAAAAGTAGCCATAGTAATATAAATTCAAGCTGTACTGCACTAATTCAATTTGCAGGCAAGGGAAATCTTTCACAGAACATTCCCCTCTTTGCTCAGTGCCTCAGGAATTTCCCATTCCCTGACTTTTTTAAATCCACGTCCCACTTGGCCCTTCCCCTGGCACAGCCTCCCCCAGACCCCTGCTCCAACACTGCACCAGTACAACCAGTTTGGAGCTGGAGGATCAGCTGCCATCCCTGCAGGAAGCACACAGAGCTCCCTGGAAAGCCTCAGCAGGAATTTAGCACCTCCAGGTTCCAGGTTTAACTCCCCAGCTCAGCTCCCTCCACAGCAGAGTCTGCACAGAACGGAGCCAAAGGCTGCCAGAGTCAGGGAAGGACTGGAGACAAATCTGAACTGGGAGCCAAGTCCCAGCACTCTTTTTCCAGCAAAGCTCAGAATTTCGGGAAAAGACCCCAGGAGTTGGCAGCACACTAAGCCTGGCTTTGCCAGCCCTGAGCCCGAGTCCCTCTCTGCCAGGAAAGGCCAGCCCAGCAGGGCAAGGGGCAAACAACAAATTTTGCACAAAACCCTCTTTGAAGCGATGCATTCCTTTTTCCCCCTTACCCACAGCAGCTTCACCTCTCACCCTGCCCTTTCCTTTTGGGTGGGGAAAGCAGAGCTCCCCAGCTCCCTCTCCGACCAGGAATTGTTGGATCCGGATCCAAGGGCTGCCAAGAGCCGGGAAAGCCGCCGGGAACGCCCCAGGAGGGAGCAGACCCGGCTGAGGACTCACCATCCATGTCCAGGCGCTGCATGATGATGGCCAGCTCCACCTCGCTGGGCATGTAGCCCAGGGAGCGCATGGCCATGCCCAGCTCCTGCTTGGAGATGAAGCCATTCCCGTCCCGGTCCAGCACTCGGAAAGCCTCTCGGATCTCTGTGGAGGCAAGGGGGAAAGGAGGAGCTGTTATGGTGGATGCTGAGCACAGAAGCAGCAGCTGTTGCTTTTTCCAGCGTTAATTGTGGATATTTGATCGTCCTGGGGCAGGGGGATCAGGATATGTTCGTGCACACCCATAAACCTCCCACAGCCCCACAGCTCCTGTGCACACAGGATTTCCTGGGGTCAGGGACACAGAGGGAATTCATTCCAGGGAATATTGGGCCACATCTCCGATCTCCACGCTCTGGACTCGGGTTTGCACCAGCTGTGACTTCCCAAAGCTGAATTCCCTCTGTCTCCCTGCCAGCCATGGGAGGGAAAGGTGGGGAGGCTGCTCAAAGCTTCGGCTCGTAATTCCAGGAGCCTTTGGAGTGGGAATGAATCCCTGAATCCCATCAGACTCCACCAGCTGCAGGGAAATCTCCTTTCATCTGTGGTCCTGAGAGCTCAGTGCAGTAAATATTACACCCAAATCAATTAATGGGAAAACAAACTCGTGACAGCTGAAGGCAGAAGAATGAGGTTCATTGCAGGGAGCCAGGAGAGGATTTTAGGAAGTAAAATGTGAATCTGGAGAAGTTTCCAGGCGAGTGAGATTGATCCAAATGCCAGGGGTAAATGCCAGGGATAAAGGAGACTTGTGGAATATCCACACAGCAGCCCCAGCTGAGAGCCCTCTCCAGGCACTCCCATCCCAAAACTGCATTAACAGCACTCAGCCTTTGAGCCTTGGGCAGAGCAGAACCCCTCACATTTGGGGCTTTCTGCTCCTCTCAAAGACCTGAACTTTTGACCAAGCCTGGCACGTCCTTCCCAAATCCACCCCCACCACCAAACAGAGCCTTTTCCCCTCCCCACTCTATAAATACCACTGGTGCCAAGGTAGATGTGAGCTATTTATAGGCTGAGCACACTGTACAGGGAGCAGTGTGACCTCAGGCAGTGCCTCTTTTTTATCTCACCGTGGAACAGCTCCTCCTCATCCCCTTCTCTTCCCAGGAGTCATTCCCAGGCTCCTGCAGGTTCTGCCCATCCTGAGCACCCTCCCTGAACCCAGCCCTGCTCCCAAACCCTGCTCCAGGCTCCTGTGGGCCCCGGCTGCCCCTCACCTTCCTCTCCAGCTGTTACATTTCATTACCCAAAGCTAAAAATACAGCAGCACTTTCCCCAGATGACTTTCCCCACCAAGTCACCATGGCAACAGATGCTCCCGGCTCAGAGCTGCGAGGGGATGTGGTCCATGGAGCCAGTCTCTCCACAGACAGTGCTGGGGCTTGGGAGAAGCTTTGGGATCTTTCCCACTGCAGCATCTCCACAGGAATGCTTTACCCTGAGCCCTGTCCTTCAAGGATGACAGGGGGAACGTGTTGAGGTGCTGCTGCCCTCTCCCCCTGCCCAGCCTGGAAAATCAGGCAGGTGGATTTCCCCTCCCTGGGGAGTCAGAAATCCCAATATTCCTCTTTCCCTAAGCAGTGTCTTCATTTACTCCCAAATGTGGGCAGCTGACACAGAACTGTATTAGAGGATAAAAGGGGGAAAAGATCCCAGGAAAACTCAGAGAACTGGAAGTTCATCCTGCCCCACGGAATCACAGAGTCCTGCAGTGATTTGGGTTGGAAGGGACCAAGGCTCACCTTGTTCCACTATTCCAGGCTTCTCCATCCCCATCCAGCCCTGGCCACCCAATCAGCTGATGTTAATGGCCTCAAAGAGGCAGCAGCTACAACGTGAATGAAATTCCCAAATGATCTAAGGCTGGGAAGAACTGGAAGGGTGAAAGTCCAGCGGGGAGGAAGGAACAAATCGGGCTTTGGGAGCAGAGGGGGCTGAGGCAGCAGGAGCAGAGCCGGGTGGAAAAGGTTTCCCAGGAAAGTTTAGCCTGCCGTTTGTCCCTGGGTGTGAAGATTCCTGTTCCACAGGAGCCCAGGGCACAGCACCCCCTTCCCAGAGTTATTTGAGCATTCCAGAGCTGTGTAGGGAAAGGAGGGGGGAGATGTGTTTGCTTTTAATTCATTCCCTCTCCTCCCATTGAACAGCTGCACTTTACAGCTTCCCTATTACAGAGCACGTGTCCAATCAATCCCCCCTCCTCCGGGAGCGGGAGGGAAGAGCCAGGGAAAAGGAGGATTCTTCATTACCTTTCTGAAGGGCACAAACAGCTCTGCCAGAGCCGGCCCTGACACCTCACCCAGCAAGTGCTCAATCCCCCAAATCCATCCTCATCCTCCTCCTGCTGCTCCTGCTGCAGCCCTTCCCTCCCCGAGCCTCCCCCTGCTCCTGCCCCACCTTCCCGCTCATCCCAGCTCCCTGCTGGGGTTTATTCCCAGGGATTTCCCTGGGCAAACATCGTGATTCTGCCGTGTCTCCTGGAGGAGGAGGAATAAGGATTCCCTGGAGAATTAATTCCATCGCATCCCCTGGCCGCCCTCGGCTGCTCTGGGGTGTAAATCCCACCCGGAAAGCGCGAGCAGCGCTCAGCGCCGCAGGGATCTCGGCATTGGTGAGACAGGAGTGGGGATAACACCACCCCAAAGCTCCCCACCCATGGATCCCAGTCCTTAATGCACCTTTGGGCCCCGAGCACGCAGGGAACGATCTGAAACTGCAAACAGCTCGTCCTCGAGTGAACCGGGGAGGGAGGCTTGGAACTACTACAACTAAAAAAATGGAAATTTCCAGCCCTCCATCTGCTATTCTCACTCTTGGTTTTTTGGGTGGGTTTTTTGTTTCTTTTTTCTCCCTGCCACAAATTGCAACGAAGTGTCAAAATAACCCCGTTTTTATCTAATGGCAACGTCCCCCCGGCGTGTTCCAACGGGGAGTGTCAAAACATTTCCCTTGGTTATTGGGATGGCAGCGAAGCCGCTCAGCACCCCCGGCTGGAGCTCTCACCGTGCCCTGGGCTGTCCCAGAGCTGCTGCAGCCTCTGCTCCTCTTCAGCATCCCCAGGGCAGGCAGGAGCAGGGCTGCTGGGATGGGGAATATCCAGGAGCATTCCAGGAGCATTCCAGGTGCTCCAGCGGCTCCGGGAGAGCAGGGGATGGCAAAGGGACAAAACCCCGTGAGCCTCCAAACCCTCCCAAACTCTCCCAACTCGGGGCTGGCTCTGCTTTGTTCCCAGAGGTGCTGTTCCATGGAACAATTCTCATCAGACTGGTGAAGCCTAAAGCAATTTGGAAAAGCTTTTCCCAAACACTAGAGTGTTTCCTTAAGGGAGCCCCAAAAAGCCCCACAGCAACACTTGAGCCCCTCTGGAAAACTGACAGAGCTCCAGCAGCTTTGTCAGCAATTCCCAAGTATTTCCCTGTGCAGAGAGCAGCAAACTCATTGCAAATGGGTTTCTTTTTCCTCTGTTTACCTTTTGCAGAAAACAGGAAAAACTGTTGTACTGAACCTTGAATCCTCCAAATGTTCCAGGAGAGTGATTGAAATATTTGCATTTCTCTGCTGTTTGGTTGTTTGAATGAAGCTGCAGTTTCTGCACATCAAAGGCCCAGAAGAATAAAGCCTTCCTGAGGATAAATCCCTGTTCTCTCTCTGTGTGCTGTGTACCTGAAAGCAGTCCTTGAGAATTCCACTGGAAAAACGTGTTGGAGGCAAGCACAGACAATCCAGCTTGAAAGGGATTGCTTTCCTTGCAAGCTTTAATGGCATTTTAAATAACACTGAAGAACTCATTTCTTTTCATTTCCTACCTTTTGGAAACATCTTTTTCTTTTTTTCCCTCTTATTTTTTTTTATTTTTGTCCTATCCTCCTTCCAGCACCTGGAACCCAGCCTGGCTCAGCCCAGTAAAGGCAGAGGTGGATTCCAGCACATCTCCCATTTCCCATTTCCCTACAGATGGATGCACTGAACACCAGCGCTGCCTTCAGAGCCTGTTTGGTGCTTGGGAAGGAGGCAGCAAAGCTGCCAGCACAGACAGGCTCTTCAGAGGGCTGGTTTAATTAACTGGTGTGATATCAAAGCTGAAGGACTCCTGACACACAATTACAGGGCATTGTCTGAGCTGGGAAAAGCCGTGTAACCCTTGCCTTTATCATCATCTCACTCCTGCTCACTCCATACCTCCAAAACACATCCCACAGTCACATTTCAGTGGCCACTTCTGTGTCTGCTGAACAAATGAATGTTTCTAAAAGTACCAGGAAATCTCAGAACCTGAGCACACAGCCAAGCACAGAGCCTGCAACTGCATTTCAGAGCTGACATTAGAAATGCAGTGAGCTGCTCTGAACTCTGCAGAAGTCCACCTTAAGCTCTGCTTTGGAGGAGATAATTTATGCTGGGCCATCCATCTCTGTCTGGGAGGCAGAGCCACACCTGAGCTGGGGACAGCCTCTCCCGGGGTGCTGAGGCAGCCACCACTTATCTGTGTGACTTCAGGTGCTGGCCCATGGAAAATCCCTGGGAAAGGATACAGGTGATGGCTGGAAATCCCCAGCAGGTGTCTGAGCCTCTTCCAGCTCATCCTCCCAGCAGATGCACTCCTGGAGGGCCTTTTCTCTGTGGGGTCCATCATCCCCTCCTCTCCTGCCCCACCCCGCAGTGAGAGCCTCATCCCCAGGGACCTGGGGCCATCTCCTCCCACACCCGGCTTTCAGTCATTCCTGATTTATTCCCTTGCTCTCACACCATCCTCGTGCTGCCAGTTCCATCCCCTGCTCCAGTTCCTGCATTCCCTCTCTGCTGCATCTCATGCACAGCCCGAGACCCTGCCTGATTCCAAACACAAGGATCTTGGCATGATTCCCAAATCCCTGCCTGCCTGATTCCCAAATCCCTGCCTGATTCCCGAATCCCTGCCTGATTCCCGAATCCCTGCCTGGTTCCCGAATCCCTGCCTGATTCCCAAATCCCTGCCTGGTTCCCAAATCCCTGCCTGGTTCCCAGCTGGCATCCAGAGCCTCCTGTGCCATTCCAGAGGCTCCTCCAGAGCCGAAGGCAGCAGGGGTGGTGAGGGCTGGTTAAGCCCAGGCACTCCTGCCCCTCTC